TAAGATTTCTTATAATTTCCTTCATCTGATTTTCATTAACAATATATCATATTTTTTTAGGTTCCAACATACACTTATCTGAAATCTATCTTACTTATATTACTGGTCTTCTATAGAAAAACTCAAGAATACGAAACATTTTATGGTGTGATGATAGTATGGGATATATTTTGGATATCCAGCAATCTCTGTTTTCGCTAAAATCCTGCCTGTTTTCCTTCACTAAACACGATATTGGAAATTCAGGAAACTTCCGAAGTAATTGCCAGGCGGTTAAGTCACCTCGATATTCACATCGCACGCAAACCGGCAGCCTCATAACGCGCAGCGCTATCACACATAAAGGATACTATCGTAGAGGAACAACACTCAAATGTAGTCTATCGCATACCGTGGGCAGATTTCTGTTGCGTGTATGCTGATCACATAGATCGACTCCTGGGCACCCGCATCAGGGAACGTAATTTAGCTGTCTGTCGCTGTCTGTCGTTCTCCCACACGCAGTCGAGTGTGACAATAATTGGGATGACACTGAAATCGTCGCCATGGCCAACACAAAAAGAGCGCGAGAATGCCTCTAGGATTGGTATTCCACTGCGGGTAGTATTAGCCGTCAATACGGTGGCCTAAGATCAAGACTTAGCGGTCCCCGCCCTACTCACATGCCAACGACCACTAAGCCAGCCACCCTGAACTCAAACGATACACCAACCGCCCCCAATGCCACCCACAAACAAAGCGTGATTCACCCTCTCACACGCCAATGTTCTACCTGCCCTGTAATCTACTTATGGTATATGCATTTGGATATAATATATATGTGTAAGAGCACCGAAAGTCTATGGAAAAACTGTGCACATTTTACGTAGTCATTTTTTGTTGTAATGGCTTCCCGAAGCTAGATTTGTGCCGCCCAGTCTCTTTGTGTCAGTTCAGCAAGGAGAACAACGAACAAGGTCTTAAAGGAAAGGAAGTCATTTATTGCGTCCCTCGACGGGGACTATATGATATGGAAGATTATAGATGCGACTAATCAGATTGTGCCCTCATTCGCCTCATTGGCCATCTGACCCTTTTGTCTTGGCCGCATTGGGTGACCTCGGGGCGCGCGCACGTAAGTGCGCGGCATTTGCGTGTGGGCGGACCGATAGCGTGACCTGAGAGTTCAGCTGGGCCGCTCGTTAGGAATAATCATAACACTCCCTTGTTTAAGATGAATTCTAGGATTTGAGACGCTTGTTCACGTGCAACGGAACCGTTTGCGTTCTTCTCGGTTCTGATCGTCTAGAGGGTTGAGGCGAAACACAGTGGAATTTCTCCTGTAGAGTCGAGATCAGCTTTGCCGCCGGTTGATTCAATTTGGCAGGACTTGGCCCGGTTGCTAGTGCACTATGCAAATGCAGTTAAGTGGCAAGTCCAGGAGACCGAGTTTCTCGATCCAGTC